CAGCTTCCCCCCCCAACATATTCTTCTTTTGTTCCTTTATCTGCATTTTATTTCCTTCATTATGTTTAATCTCAATTGGAAGTTCACTTTTCTTAGCCTTCCTCCTTTCCTTTCCTTTTCTTCTCTCCTGCTTAAATTCTGATTTTGATTCTCATTCTGACTCTCATTCTGATTTATTCTGATTTATTTTTAATTTTATTTACTTTAACTTTAACTTTTATTTATTTTCATTAAATGGATTCGTTGGAGAATTTCCCCCCTGTTTTCTAGACCAGGCAGCCTTTGGCATCTCTCGCTAGGTAGATGAAATAAGAAGGAGAAAACAGCTAATTTACAGTCTCGACTTATGACCACAATTTCCATTGTTAAGTAAGACACATAAGCGAAGGCTCCCCTTTGCACTTCCCACCCCCCCCACGCCGGCTGAGTTGTGGGTTCCCTCTTTGGTGAGGACTTTCCCCACGAAATTCAGGTGACTCAGCCTGTCCTTCTCCTCTCTGGAGTTGGCCTCATCACAGCCGTCCTTCGAAGGGTCACACGACAACGGGAGGGGAGGGGGCAGACCCACAACAATGAGGCCTTGTGCAATCAGCCTCCTTTGCGCAACTGTGTGGTGCCACACACACGACAATCTTTGATGGTGGGTAAATATCTCTCTTCTATCTGTCTCTCTCTCTTTCCTTCTCTCTCTCTCTCTCTCTGTCCTCCCCCCCTCTCTCTCAACTATCATCTCTCTGTTCCTCTCTCTGTCTGTCTGTCTCTGCCTATCTATCATCTATCTATCAATTCTATCCATCTATATATCTATTATGTCTATCCTCTCTCTCCCTCTCTCTCTCCATCCATCCATCCATCCATCCCTCCATCCATCCATCCAGCCATCCAGCCATCCATCCATCCATCCCAGGCAGTCTTTGACTTACAACAGTTCATTTAGTGACCATCCAAAGTTACAACGGCACTGAAAAAGGGACTTAGGACCGCTTTTCACACTTAACGACCGTTGGCAGAATCCCCCTAGTCCCGTGATCAAAATTCAGACGCTTGGCAACTGACTCAGATTTATGACGGTGGCAGTGTCACAGTCAAGGTCAAGATTGACTTAACAACCCTGTGACTGACTTAGCAACGGCAGCAAATAACACTTAACCGCCAGGGCAAGTATGGTCGTAAAATGGGGCACTGGGGCCTTAGAGGTCTTCTAGTCCAACCCCCTGCTCAAAAGGAGAAGCAATACTATTCTGGACAAATGTTGGTGAACATGGAATCATACGACTGGATGGGACCTTAGAGGTCATCTAGTCCAACCCCCTGCGCAAGCAGGGGACCTTGTGCCGTTCTGGACCAATGGCTGCCGACTCTCTTCTTTGAAAACCCCCGCAGAGACCTTTTAGCGATGATTCTTCAGCCCACTTTTGAAAACCTCCATTGATGGAGCATCCCACAATTTCAAGCCCACAAATCTTCAACAAATCTTAAATTTTGGGAAAGTCTCTACAGACTTTAGACTCTGCAGAGGGTAACCAAGGAAACCTTTCTCTCCTCCTTCTCCTCCTCCTTCTCCCTCTCTCTCCCCCCTGATCAGAATAATCGAGTTGGAAGGGACCCTGGAGGTCTTCCAGTCCAACCCCCTGTTCAAGCAAGAGACCCTTCTCCCCCTCCGTCTCCTCCTTGGCCATTCAAAGGGCACGTTCAGATGGGTTGACCTCAACTCCTCGCCCCTCCCCAAACTTCCCCAGCCTGAGATGCTGGGGAAATGCCAAGATTGAGAAAACCTGACCTGGAAACCTGCCAGAAGAACATTTAGGACGATGAACACATTTCTACTCCCTGCTTCTCTGTGCCCCCGTCTCCTTTTCAGGAAGGACCGTGGAGAACTCAGTGGGGGAAACCCCTGGTGGCCTCCCAACAAAGAGATGACCTGCCCATCAGGGGATATAAGGAGGCCTCCTGGTCCCGGGAGCCACATCAGCTGTGGAGCTCCATAGCAGGAGACACAAGGATGGAAGGCTGCTTCTGGAAGACCTTGCTGGTGGTTGGAGCTCTTGCAACGGGTGGGACCTCCTCACTACAACACAAACCTCTGAGCTATGATGAGGCTGTGGACCTTGCAGTGAGCATCTACAACAGCAAATCTGGGGAAGACTCCATGTATCGTCTCCTGGAAGCTGTTCCTCAACCTGAGTGGGTACGTACTCTCCAGTTCAGGTCCACCGAGGACTTGATCCTGACCTGAGTAGAGTAGAGTAGGGTGGACCCATCCTTTGTGGGAAGCCGTCCTGAGGGCTAACTGAAAAAGAGCCTGTTCTCCCAGCATGGAGATCTCGAGGAGCCTTCATTTCTGGTCTACCTACCCTTCATTTTGGGTCCCTTATGGATTTGAAACCTAGAAACCTAGAATAACAGAACTGGAAGGGACCTTGGAGGTCTTCTAGTCCAACGCCCTACTCAAGCAGGAGATCCTGTCCTGTTCTGGACAAAAGGCTATCCAATCTTTTTCATGAAGACCTCACCCATAACTTCTGGAGGCAAGTTGTCCCACTGGTTGATTGTTCTGTCAGGAAGCTTTTCCTTAGTTCCAGGTTGCTTCTCTCCCTGATTAGTTTCCATCCATTGCCTCTTGTCCTGCCTTCTGCTGCTTTGGAGAATAGCTTCACCCCCTCTTCTCTGTGGCAGCCCCTCAAATATTGGAAAACTGCTATCATCACCTCTAGGCCTTTTTGTCCCTAGACTAGACTTGATTTGTCCTGTTTACACTTTTTGTAGAGTAGGCACTTCCCTCGTGGGAAGCTAGGTGAAAAGGGGGAATCAGTTCCACCACAAAGACCTTCAGGATCCTTCAACTAGGACCAATCAGGATGGTGGGCATGGAATCCAGAACTTCTGGGACCTGCATGGACTCTGCTCTGTAGATGTATTCTGGGGGCTCCATCAAGACCCAAGCAGCATGATCCCAAGGGAAGGTGGGAGGAAGGTCAGGTGGCCTCCAGACTAACCTCCTGGTTGACCGTGTCTTCTTTCAGTATCCTCTTTCTGAAAGCAACCAAGAGCTGAACTTCACCATCAAGGAGACGGAGTGCCAGGTTGAAGAAGAACGTGCCTTGAAAGAATGCGACTTTGAAGAAGACGGGGTGAGTGGCCGATTTCCAAGCTGGGTTGGAAATGTATTTTAGATGGAGACAGGGCCATGGAGATTCTGTAGGACCTTCCTGGCAGAGATGAAACTGGAGTTCTCCTTCCCTGCTACTTTGGTCTTGAGGGACGTCCTTCCTCTCGTTTCTCCAAGTCAACTCTTAGCCCCTGGATAGAGGAGGGATAGAGGAGAGAACAAGAGAGTTGGAAGGGGCCTTGGAGGTCCTCTAGTCCCACCCCCTGCTCAAGGAGAAACCCTTTTCTCCTTCCCCTTTCACCTTTTCTTTCTCTCCTCCTCCTCCTCTTCCTCCTCCTCGTCTGCTGAGTAAGAGAGTTGGAAGGGGCCTTGGAGGTCCTCTAGTCCCACCCCCTGCTCAAGCAGAAACCCTTTTCTCCTTCCCCTTCACCTTTTCTTTCTCTCCTCCTCCTCCTCCTCTTCCTCCTCCTCATCTGCTGAGTAAGAGAGTTGGAAGGGGCCTTGGAGGTCCTCTAGTCTCACCCCCTGCTCAACCCCCACCTCCTCCTCCTCTGAATTCCTTTCCTTCCCCTTCCCTTTCTCCTTGTCCTCCTCCTCCCCCTCCTCCAACCCGCTGCCCGAGCTGGAAACCCTCTACCGGTTCAGACAAATGGCTGTCCAACCTCTTTCACATTCCTGGGAGGGAGGAGACACATTCCAGAGTTATAAAAGGGACCGAAAAGTTTAGAAGCCGAAGTCGGCTGCTCCCTTAGAGGTTTTTCACAGGCTGCCTTAAATTTATTTATTGGTTCGATTTATATGCCGCCTTTCTCCGGAGACTCAGGGAGGCTTACAATGCGTTAAGCAACAGCCTTCATACTTTTGTATATACCTGCTTAGTAGGGCTTTCACCGCCCCCCCCCAAGCGGTGTTCTTTTTTATACAAAGTCAGCTTATTGCCCCCACAATCCGGGTCCTCATTTTACCTTCCTCGGAAGGATGGAAGGCTGAGTCAACCTTGAGCCTGGTGAGATTCGAACTCGCACTAATTGCAGGCAGCTGGCGCTACTTAAGAGCACTTTAGTCTGCTGCGCCACCAAGGCTCTTCTAAATAATTGACATTCTTGCTCATAGTTTGCCAAGATTTCGGTCTGCAGGCGTGCAAACATTAAAAGAAGAAGCTACTTATAAAAACGTCAGCATTTCTTTTCCTGGTTTCTGGAACCCGTCAGGGCGTAAGAGATTCACCCATCGGCAGCCTTGGAAGCAATTCCCCTGAAGTATAGGCAGTCCTCGACTTACAACACTTCATTTAGTGACCGTTCAAAGTTACGACGGTGCTGCAAAAAGGGACTTAGGACCATTTTTCACACTTAACGCCCGTCGCAGCATCCCCACGGTCACCGATCAAAATTCAGCCGCTTGGCCACTGACTCGTATTTATGACGGTTGCAGCTTCCCGGGGTCCTGTGATCCCCTTTTGTGACCTGATGAGCAAAATCAAGACAAGCCACTTAATGTCCGTGTTGTTAACATAACAAGTGCAGTGATTCACTTAACAACGGTGGCAAGGAAAATCGTAAAACGGGGCAAAATTCACTCAAAGAACATCTCGCTTGGTAATTTTGGGCTGAATTGTGGTCGTAAGCCGAGGACTACCCATACTTACGACCGTCTCTGCCTCCCCACGGTCACATGATCAAAATTCAGAGGCTTGGCAGCTGACTCAGATTTATGACGGTTGCAAAGTCCTGGGGTTCACATGGTCCCCCCCTTTTGCCACTTTCTGACAAACCCGAAGCCAGGTTCACTGAATGACTAACTGCAGGGATATGCTTAACACGGTCGTAAAACGAGGCGGAACCCGTGGGGGTCTCGCTTAGCCATGAGAAATGTTGGGGTTGATTCTGGTCATACGTCGAGGACCACCTGTACCTACGGAGACCTTGGGGCTGAACCATCTTAATTTGTCCAATGTCCTCCTAGCAGGAGGTGGTTGGAGGTCGGTCGGGGCGAATTCCTCCGTAGGAAAGGAGATTGTCGTCTCCGCGTAACGAAATCTGGCTGCTGTCATCGTTCTCACCCTGCTGTCTTCTCCTGCACAGGTGGTCATGGAGTGCAGGGGCTACTATTTCTTTGGGGAGACGCCCTCAGTGCTCGTTCTCACCTGTGAACCGGTGGCTGAAGAGGAGGAGGGGGACAAAGAGGAGGAGAAGGAGGTGGAGGAGGAGGAAAAGGAGGAAGATGAGAAGGTAAGAAGATGGTATGATGGTTGGGAGGACTTATAACGATCAGATGCGATTTTTTGCTTAGTGGCCATCCTAGACCAACAACAGTTTCGTTTAGTGACCAGAGTTGCAACAGCCCTGAAAAAAAAATGACTTATGTCCATTTTACAGCTAGTCCTCAACTTACAAAAGCTTGTTTAGTGACCGTTCGAAGTTGCAACGGCATTAAAAAAAAGGGACTCAGGATCCTTTTTCACACTTAACAACCATTTCAGATCTCCAGGGTCACGTGAGTTACATTGGCAACTGATTCACAGATATGACGGTTGCAGAGTCCCAGTGTCAGGTGATTCTTTTTTACGACCTTCTGACGAGCCAAGTCAATGGGGAAACCCAGATTCACTTCACAACCAGGTGACTCATTTAACAACTGCAGTGATTCGCTTAATGACGGAGGTAAAAAAGGTCGTAAAATGGGGTAAAATTCACTCAACAAAGGTCTCAGGGAGGAGCAGAAATTTGGGGCTCGGTTTTGATCGTAAGTTGGGGGTGGGCACCTGTAGAGTCTTCTGCTTTTAATTCTTAAATTAGGAATTAAACTCTGCCCACAGGCAGAAGTGGGGAGAGTCTCCTTCTTAATCTGCAAAGGGTGTAAAACAGACTCATACAATGTGTTGTGTAGAAATGCCACAACTGCACCCTTTGCAGAAGTCCAAGCCCGATCCCGGGGCAGTGGGGAAGCAGAAAGAGGAAGGGGCTGCAGGACCCCCGGGGCCACCCATTGGGGACCCAGCCCTGACCCCAGTCCTTCTCTTCCTCTCTAGGATCAGCCCAGGAGAGTCAAGAGATTCAAGAAGTTTCTCAAGAAGCTCAAGAAAAGCGTGAAGAAACATGTCAAGGAATTCTTCAAGAAACCGAGAGTCATCGGGGTCACCATCCCCTTCTAAGAGGGGATTCGGAAGGACCCTCCGATCCGAGGAAAACCAGCAGAGAAAAATGATGTTCCAGTCCATCCAATCATTCCTCAAAAAGATACTCCAGCAATAAATAAATGAATAAATAAATGAATAAATAAATAAATAAATATATATATATACTCATACATGGCTTTTTCCTACTTTCCTATGTTTAAAAGACTAACAGAATTAGGGAGTTGGAAGGGACCCTGGAGGTCTTCTAGTCCAACCCCCTGCTCAAAAGGGGAACCTACATTATTCTGGACAAATGTTTCTCCAATCTCTTCTTTGAAAATCTCCATGGAGACCTGATAGCTTCAGTCCACTTTTGAAAACCTCCATTGATGGAGCATCCCACAATTTCAGGCCCACAAATCTTAAACTTAAAGGAAATGAGTTTTGCTATGGTCAGTTGATGGCCGGGGAGAGATGCAGTTTAGCAATCCATTGTCACAATACATCTCTCACAATTTCCTTCCTTCCTTCCTTCCCTTCCTTCCTTCTTTCCCCATATATCTCCTTCTTTCCCTCGTCCCTCCCTCCTTCCTTCCCCATATATCGCTTTCTTTCCCTTGTCCCTCTCTCCTTCCTTCCCCATATATCTCCTTCCCTCCCTCCTTCCTTTCCCCTTCCTTCCCCATATATCGCTTCCTTTCCCTTGTCCCTCTCTCCTTCCTTCCCCATATATCTCCTTCCCTCCCTCCTCCCTCCCTCCCTCCCTTCCCTCCTCCCTCCCTCCCCATCCCTTCCTTCCTTCTTTCCCCATATATCTCCTTCCTTCTCTCCTTTCTTTCCCCTTCCTTCCCCATATATCGCCTTCCTTCCCTCGTCCCTCCCTCCTTCTTCCCTATATATCTCCTTCCCTTCCTCTCTCACTACTTCCTTCCTTCCTTCCCCATATATCGCTTTCCTTCCCTTGTCCCTCTCTCCTTCCATCCCCATATATCTCCTTCCCTCCCTCCTCCCTCCCTCCCTCCCTTCCCTCCTCCCTCCTTCCCCATCCCTTCCTTCCTTCTTTCCCCATATATCTCCTTCCTTCCTTCCCTCCTTCCTTTCCCTTTCCTTCCCCATATATCTCCTTCCTTCCCTCGTCCCTCCCTCCTTCCTTCCCTATATATCTCCTTCCCTTCCTCTCTCACTACTTCCTTCCTTCTCCATATATCTCCTTCCTTCCCTTCCTCCCTCCCTCCTTCTTCTTTTTTTTTTTTTAATTTGATTTATATGCCGCCCTTCTCCGAAGACTCAGGGCGGCTTACAATGTGCTCAGCAATAGCCTTCATCCTTTTGTATATTTATACAAAGTCAGCTTATTGCCCCCACAAACTGGGTCCTCATTTCACCTACCTTGGAAAGGATGGAAGGCTGAGTCAACCTTGAGCCTTGGCGAGATTCGAACCCTGCAGTAATTGCAGGCAGCTGGTCTTAATAAGCTTAATAACAGGGTGCCTTAAACCCCTGTAGTACCAAGGCTCTTTCTTCCTTTCTTTCTTCCCCATGTATCTCCTCCCTCCCTCCTTCCTTCCTTCTTTGCCCTTTTGCAACCTTCTGCCAAGCTAAATCAAGGGCAAGCCAGATTCAGAACAACCATGTTCCTAATTTACCAACTGCAGGGATTCACTTAACAAATGCAGCAAGAAAAGTCATAAGATAACTCACTTAACAATGTCTCACTTAGCAACATAAATTTTCGACTCCATTGTGATCATAACTCGAGGAATGCCTGCGTTAATCCATTTGTGCAATGGGTGGCCATAGAAACAATCTCAATACAGAACCGGCAAAGAAATAAGCTTCTCTCGCCAGTGATCTTCGAAAGGTTTTAAAGTTATAAAAAGGAGGAAGTGTGAAGGTCTATCCTGGAGAATCTGATTTGGGGAGTGTTGACTTCTTTACTTTTCTTCTAATGATGGTTCACTCATTGACACATCAAGAAATGTCAATTTTCTGGGTTGTGAAATAATTAGAGTCTATCAGATGGCTCAAAACAAAATAATAACTTGGATATCACCATTGTTTATAATCCTTTAACTTGTCTCTATAAAAACATTTTTGAAGCCGGCAGCCTCCCCCATTGTGGCGTGACAGAGCCTTGGTGGTGCAGCAGACTAAAGTGCTGTTAAGTAGCACTTAGCTGCCAGCTGCCTGCAATTACTGCGAGTTCAAATCTCACCAGGCTCAAGGTTGACTCAGCCTTCCATCCTTCCCAGGTAGGTAAAATGAGGACCCGGATTGTGGGGGCAATAAGCTGACTTTGTATAAAAAAAGAACACCGCTTAGGCCCCCCCCGAAAGCCCTACTAAGCAGGTATATACAAAAGTATGAAGGCTGTTGCTTAATGCATTGTAAGCCGCCCTGAGTCTCCGGAGAAGGGCGGCATATAAATCGAACCAATCAATCAATCAATCAATCAATCAATCAATCAATAATGAAGGGAAAGAGTTTATTTTTCTGCTGCTGACAAACAGCTGTCTTTGCCACTAAATTTGGTAATTTGGTTGCTTTGCTCCCTGTTTTTTAAAGGGAGACTAAGAAGGACCTAAATTGCTTTTTGGAAGGAACAGAGGCAAGTTGGATGCCTGCAATTCTCAGTAAGGAGTAATCCAGGAAGGTTGGTGTCCTTCTTCCTTCAGCTGCTCGTTTTCTTAAGTATGCCTGGTTGTTTATTGCACTTTCGAAGTTTTCCAATCTCCGGGTTTGTGACTGTTAAATGTGTTCAAGGATCGTGCCCAATAACTCCATAAGCAGGTATTCATTAAATCAGATATTGTTTATTAATTAAGCATCTTATCGTTACAGGTACAAGTCTGGAACTGAGGCAGGACCGCATGGCTGACCCTTAAGTACCCCCTGGGTGTGGCTAAGGTAAGAAGGGGTTATTGGGTTAGGGTGGACCTTGGGGGCTGGCTTGTCCAGCCCCCCTGCCTCTAGCTCTGGATCAGAGGCAAGGCATTTATTCCTGACAAAACCCCCTCTAAATGCCTGGCCGAGGTGTTCTTGTGTGGTGCATACCTGAGTTGCCCTTTTCAGGAGGACGCCTAATTTTGATGTTAAATACGTGTGCTGTTTATTTTGCAATGGTTTGGTTAGAATGTCCGCTGTTTGTTCTTCTGTGTCACAATGTATAACTCTTATGAATCCTATGCTTGCGAACTGTCTAACGTGTTTGTATTTTATGTCGATATGCCTCGACCTTTGACCCACTGCTTCAGCCTTAGATATTTCCATAGCGGCTTTATTGTCCTCGTGCATGATGATAGGGTAGTTCGGTTCGGCCCATATGTCTGCGAGCAGGTCATCAAACCAGACCAGGTTGTTGGCGGCCTTGGACAAACAAATATATTCGGCCTCTGTTGTGGATGTGGCTACCAGATCCTGTTTGCCTGTGTACCAATGTACTGGGCTGTTGTTTAGAAAGAATACGTAACCTGAAGTGCTCTTTCTGCATTTCACATCCCCAGCCCAGTCAGCGTCTGCATAGCACATGAGTGTGGGTGTTGTGTTGTTCTCGGGTTCTAGTGATAGGCAAGCATCGGAGCTCTGCTTTAGGTACCTCAGTACCCTTTTGATGGCTTCCCAGTGGTACACAGTGGGTTTACCTACATGTCGTGATAGCCGGTTAACTGGCAGGGCGATGTCTGGCCTAGTCCAGTTCGCAATGTATAATAGGGAGCCTATGGTGGATCTGTATAATGTGTTGTCCTTGAACGCCTCAGCCTCATTATACATGTCCTTCAAGAAGTCTGGTTGCATTGGTGTTTCACACCCCTTGGCGTTTGTCATGTTGCACTTATGTATTAGTTCCAAAATTTTGTCCTTCTGTGACAGTTGGAAACCTCTGCCTGTTTTTGTGATTTGCACCCCCAAGTATTTATCTACCTTACCCAATATCTTCAGTGTAAAATGTTTTCCCAACTCACTGGCGAAGTCGTTACATTTGCTAGGCTGGCCACCGATATACAATATATCGTCCACGTATATCAAAACGTACTCGAGGGAACTGTCTGACTTCTTGGTGAAGAAGCAGTTGTCGGCCGAGGTGGCTGAGAATCCCATGGACTTCAATGTCTTGGATAGGCATTCGTACCAACGTTTCCCTGACTGTTTGAGTCCATACAGGCTCCGGTTTAGGATCCAGGTTTCTCCCTTCCTGGTGTTTTGGCTAGGTGGTGCTCTCACGTATATCTCTTTATCTAGCTCGGTGTGCAGGTAAGCGGTTTGCACGTCGAATTGGTGCACTTCCAACCCTAGCAGTGATGCAATTACTAGCGCACACTTCACGCTCTCGGCCCTGACTGTGGGGGAGTACGTTTCCGTGTAGTCATCAGGGTATTTCTGGGCGAACCCCTGTGCCACCAGTCTAGCTTTGTAGAGCGCTTTGTTTCCCTCTAGTGTTTTAACCTTGTAGACCCACCTAGTGCCTATGGTCGTCTTTCCTATTGGGACTTTAGAGGGAGTGTATACGTTTAGTTCCCTCAGGCTGTCCATTTCCCTTTCCATGGCCTGTTCCCATTTCTCTCTCTCCTCATCCGGTAACCCCAGTACGTCCTCATATGTGTTGGGGGTTAGTTGGTTAGTGTGGAGGGATAACACGTAGTCCCCTAACCTTTCTGGCTTTTTGCCCCTGTTTGCCCTGATTGGCCTGTCGGGGGGTGTCTCTGTGTCATGCATGTACCTAGCTTCTCTCTCGGTGAGTGAGTCCACTTTGTTGCATGGGTGGTTTTCCTTCCACCCCTTCACTGGTATTTCCTGTCCTTTGGGTTTATTCTTTCCCTGTTCAGTGCCCCTTCCTGTTTGGTGCTTTATCCCCCTTTGATCATCCCCTGGTCCGTCCTTGCTAAGGGACACCTCGTTGAGGTGTATCTTGGACCAGTTGGCGTTTTCGTGAAAGACAGCTGTTCGTGATATCACAAAATTGTTATTGCTGTCTATGAATCTATATCCCTTCGTCCCTGGTTCATACCCCATGAACCTCAGTCTTCTGGATACCCTGTCTCCCTTATGTCTCAATTGTTTGGGGATGTGCACATCTGCTGTGACCCCGAATATGTGTAAGTGTGACACCTGTGGTTTCTTTTGATACATTAACTCGTATGGGGTTTTGTTTAGTACACTGGTCCATAGCCTGTTCAAAGTGTAATTCGAATAAATGAGTGCTTCTGACCAGAAATGCTGCCCTAGGCCGGCATCCTCTAGTGCGCACCTCATCATGGTCTGCAGTGTTCCGTTTTTTCATTCTGCAACGCCATTTTGAAAGGCGGAAAAAGGAGAAGTCGTGTAGTGGACTATCCCGCGTGTTTTTAGCCATTGCGAGAAGTCACTTGACAAAAATTCAGACCCCCGGTCTGTCATTATTTGCCTGATCTTGGTATCATGTTGTGTCTCCACCTTTGCGTAGAATTCCTTAAATTTTTGGAATACTTCGCTCTTGTGTTTTAGCGTGTATACGAAGCCATAGCGGCTGAAATCATCCACTATGGTCAGGAAGTACCTCTTCCTGTATTTGATGGAGGGTCTTAGTGGTCCTACTAGGTCCATATGTATGAGTTGGAAGATTGAATTAATTGTGCGCACTGACTTTTTGGGCCTTGGTTTAGTTTTTAATTTAGAGCTCTTACAAATAGAACACTCGAGATAGTTCTCACAATCCTTTATTTTTACACCTTCAGAGCATTCCATCATTTTCTGCACCACAGGGAAGCTAATGTGTCCTAGTCTTCTGTGTAACAGGTGGGCACAGTTGTCATGCATTGGCTTCCCTATCGCTGGCTTTCCTTCCCTGAGAGTCCCCTGCTCACTTGTATCATCAGTGGTGTGTGCGTGACTAACCCCCTCTACTTCCCCACTTGTGTAGTCTGGGTTGTCGGGTTTAACCTTCTTGTGATTGTTTACCTCTGGCTGCTTGTCCCTGACTGGGTGGAAGAATGGCAGTTCCCCACTGATTACTACTTTCCCTATTCTTTTGCCCCCTCTAGTTACCTGTGCCTTTCCTTCCTTGAATGTCACCTCGACATTGTTGTCCTTGCTTAGTTTTAGGGTGGCAAGGATGTTATAGGGTATATTTGGCACTAATAGTACTCCTTGTATTACTCCTATCCCTGGCACGTATGCGTTACCTTTACCTGTTACTTGCACATTGTTCTGGTTAGCCACTTTTATTATAAAACTTTCTTCTGTAAATGAGGTTAGCAAGTTACGGTCATAAGTGGTATGGTTTGTGGCCCCTGAGTCCAGCAGCCATGTGCCTTCCTCCCTGTCCTGGCCTATGTGTCGCTCTTGATCTCCTATGCCATACAGTGATCCAGTCTGGCTCTCCCTGGAGCTGTTCCTGTGGTTTCTCCTGTCCCTGGGGCTAGGGGAATCCCTACGCCTGTGTCTGTCCTCTGGTGAGCGTCCTCTAGCGTGCCTTGTCCTTTGTTCTGGTCTGTCCCTTCTATGTGACCTGTCCCTGTCCCCTGTGTTTCTAGGACAGTCCTTTTTGTAATGGTTTCTTGACCCGCATATATAGCACTCTGTGTTACTGTAGCTCCTACCCTGTGGTTCAGCCTTCCTGCTGGGTCTTTGCTCCCTGCGGCTTAGTAAGCGGTCTTTCCTGATGCTGTCTTCAGCTATTAGTTTACTTGTTAGTAATTCCAGTGAGAGTTTCCCTGACCCTAGGTTGTCTATCTGCGTGATAAATGTGTCCCAACTGGGGTCTAAGGAATTTACAATGATGCTTATCATGGTCCTCTCACTTATGACCTCCCCCCTTTGTGTCAGCTGAGCTCTGGTGGTATTTAGTGACAATAAATGCTCGCTCATTGGGGTCCCTGCTTTAAGTTTGGTGGCGTAGAATTCCCTGGATAACTGGTGGTGCTTGCTACGCTTTGGCAGTAAAATAGTTTGTGCATCCTCTGTATTACCTCCAGAGCAGTCAAGTGGTGGTTAATGCTGGGGTAAATACTTGGGGTAATGCTGGCAATGACAATACAGTATGCTTTATGGTGGATGCAATCTAATTCAAAAGTCCAGGGTTTTTCTGGGGGGTCTATGACTAGGGATAATAGATCTTCCTTTAGCAGGGTGACTTGGAGTTGCTGGTTCCAGTCCAGGAAATTCTCCCCATCTAGTCTTAGTTTGGGAAAGTCACTTGGCAAAGTCCCTGAATTGTAAGTTAAATTACTTACATTATGTCGCTGTCCATGGTTCCTCACGTAAGGGTACTCACAATAAGGCAGAGGAACGACTGTGGCAAGTCTGAACTGACTTGTCTCTATGTGCTTGCGTCACTGTAGCTCTATGTCTTGTTCCGTTTCTCTTACAGGGATGCATTGCACATGCGTGAGGTTCATTTCTGCCCAGCCGCCGTGGAGTGAGGAGCTCGTCCCCACAGCTCTCGGGTGAAGGCCCCAATCTTCCGGATGGGCCTTCGGTTCCTCCTTGGTCGGCCTCGCTTGCTCGGGATCGTCGTGGATCGTCGTCTGGAGCCTCGGGAAGCGGTGAGGATCGTCGGTGGAGGTCGGAAGTCCCGTTGGGGCTGCGAATGGTCCCGGATGGCCCGGCCTTGTGTGGGTGGCGCCTCCGGGTGTCGGGCCGAGTCCCCTGCCCGCTGATGGACGTCCCCTGCCTGCGGATGGCCCCGTGGGCCATGGATCTGGTCCCGGTCGTCGGTCCGGTGAGTGGTCCCATCGCCTTCGGTGTCCCGTTTTTATGGGGAGACTCCTTGGGAGCTCTGGGTGGCCCTGGGCCCATGCGGTAGCGGTCAGTTCCCCAGGGTGGGTGCCGGTGTCGGCCCTCTTCGTGCTAGGGTCCCCTTTGCGTTTTGGCCTAGCACCGGGCTGCGTGTTCAGTAATTTCATCTTATCCCCTAGGGCCGCGGTGATTAGTTCGATGGCTTTGTTGACCTCGGGCTCGGTAGGCGGGCCTGTAGGTTTTGGCTTTGGGCTTTCTTGTTTTTTGTGGTAGTTTTGGTCGGCTACTTTAGGGTAGGCCCCGATTCCCGCCATGAGATTTAAATCTCGGGAATCTATTGGTGGGTGGTCGGCCATTTTTGATGATGTCGCCTCCCAAGATGGCCGCCGTAAAAAGGGCGCGAAGTCTCCTTCGGCCTTTTCGGTGGGTTTCTGGTGGGGGAAGTCCTCCCTTACCGCATCTTCGTCGCTGTAGTCGGATTCGTCTTCATCTTCCTCACTCGCTGCTTCGCAGCCTTTGACCAGGCTTCGGAGTTCCGTGATGAGGTCGGTGTTGCCTTGTGACGAATCTATCAGCTCCAGAAGTTTTACTTTTAGGTCGTGTTTTTCTCCTTTTGAGGTCTCATGTTTCTTCCACCCCTCGTCGCTTCTGGCCGGGGTGCATGGGTGGTGGAGTAGGCCGCTCGTCTCGGGTGCCTCTCCTTGCGTGGTTTCGGGTTGGGCAGACCGTTCTGCCATCTTCTTGGTGAATGCTCTGGTATTCACCCTGTCTGTCGTGGTCCTTTGCATGTTGTGGAGTATTAGGATTGGGCTGTCAAACCATCCTCTGCTACCATATTGTTAAATGTGTTCAAGGATCGTGCCCAATAACTCCATAAGCAGGTAGTCATTAAATCAGATATTGTTTGTTAATTAAGCATCTTATCATTACAGGTACAAGTCTGGAACTGAGGCAGGACCGCATGGCTGACCCTTAAGTACCCCCTGGGCGTGGCTAAGGTAAGGAGGGGTTATTGGGTTAGGGTGGACCTTGGGGGCTGGCTTGTCCAGCCCCCCTGCCTCTAGCTCTGGATCAGAGGCAAGGCATTTATTCCTGACAGTGACTTCTGACTTGTTTCATAACCCCTGGCTGGATTTTTACAAGTTTTTCCCGTAAAGAAAAGTTTTTCTTGATTATACTTTTTTGAATAAAATAAAATTGTTAAACAAAAAAGTGGTATTTTGCAAAGAAAAGACCTATTCTGTTCCATTTCAGCATTTATTTCCACAAAACAACAACAACAACAACAACCCACATTACAAATATTTCTGCCGTTTCCCCATTTCTCTAATGGAGCTTTTCCTTCCTACATCGATTCGGATCTCGAATTCTATTTCAAATTTGAATTGATATAAAAATTTAGAAAGCCTGGATCTCATCGCCATGTTTTTTGCAGAAATTATTCCTTCCTTCCTTTCTTCTCCTATTTCACATTCTTTTTCCTTCTTTCATTGCACTTTTTAATCTGTCTTTCTCTCCTTCCTTCCTCCCTCCCTCCCTCCCCTCTTTCCTTTCTTCCTTCCTCTCTCCCTCCTTCCTTCCTCCCTTCCATCCTTCCTTGTCCCTTTTTCAACCTTCTGACAAGCGAAGTCAAGGAGAAGCCAGATTCACCGTGTTCCTAATTTACCAACTGCAGTGATTCACTTAACAAATGTGGCAAGAAAAGTCATAATAACACGAGGTAAAATTCACTTAATAAATGTCCCACTTAGCAACATAAATGTTCAGCTCCTTTGTTGTCGTAAATCGAGGACTGCCTGCATTAATCTTTTTGTGCGAAAAAGGAGAGAAAGATTTTCTTGGTTATCCTCTTCAGAGTCTAAAGTCTGTAGGGACTTTCCCCAAAATTGGCAAGTTTAATATTTGTGGGCCTGAAATTGTGGGATGCTCCATCAATGGAGGTTTTCAAAAATGGACTGAAAAATCATTGTTATAAGGTCTCTATGGGGATTTTCAAAGAAGAGGTTCGACAGCCATTTGTCCAAAATGGCACAAGGTCTCCTGTTTGAGCAGGGGGTTGGACTAGAAGACCTCCAGGGTCGCTTCCAACTCCCTAATTCTGTTAGTCTTTTAAACATAGGAAAGTAGGAAAAAGCCATGTATGAGTATATATATATATATTTATTTATTTATTTATTCATTTATTTATTGCTGGAGTATCTTTTTGGGGAATGATTGGATGGACTGGAACATCATTTTTCTCTGCCGGTTTTCCTCGGATCGGAGGGTCCTTCCGAATCCCCTTTTAGAAGGGGATGGAGACCCCGATGACTCTCGGTTTCTTGAAGAATTTCTTGACACGTTTCTTCACGCTTTTCTTGAGCTTCTTGAAAAACTTCTTGAATCTCTTGACTCTCCTGGGCTGATCCTAGAGAGGAAGAGAAGGACTGGGGTCAGGGCTGGGTCCCCAGTGGGTGGCCCCGGGGGTCCTGCAGCCCCTTCCTCTTTCTGCTTCCCCACTGCCCCGGGATTGGGCTTGGACTTCTGCAAAGGGGGCAGTTGTGGCATTTCCACACAACACAGTGTATGAGTCTGTTTTACACCCTTTGCAGATTAAGAAGGAGACTCTCCCCACTTCTGCCTGTGGGCAGAGTTTAATTCCTAATTTAAGAATTAAAAGCAGAAGACTCTACAGGTGCCCCCCCCCAACTTACGATCAAAACCGAGCCCCAAATTTCTGCTGCTCCCTGAGACCTTTGTTGAGTGAGTTTTGCCCTATTTTACGACCTTTCTTGCCTCTGTCGTTAAGCGAATCACTGCAGTTGTTAAATGAGTCACCTGGTTGTGAAATCACCTGTTCACCGCCCTGAGTCCTTCGGGAGTAGGGCGGTATACAAATTTAATAAAATAAAATAAAATAAAATAAATAATAAATAAATGAATCTGCGTTTCCCCATTGACTTGGCTCGTCAGAAGGTCGTAAAAGAGGATCACCTGACCCTGGGACTCTGCAACCAGGGTCATAAGTGTGAATCAGTTGCCAATGTAACTCACGTGACCCTGGAAATCTGCAATGGTTGTTAAGCGTGAAAAAGGGTCCTGAGTCCCCGTTGCAACTTCGAACGGTCACTAAACAAGCTTTTGTAAGTTGAGGACTAGCTGTAAAATGGACATAAATCATTTTTTTTCAGGGCTGTTGCAACTCTGGTCACTAAACAAAACTGTTGTTGGTCTAGGATGGCCACTAAGTAAAAAATCGCATCTGATCGTTATAAGTCCTTCCAACCATCATACCATCTTCTTACCTTCTCATCTTCCTCCTTTTCTTCCTCCTCCACCTCCTTCTCCTCCTCTTTGTCCCCCTCCTCCTCTTCAGCCACCGGTTCACAGGTGAGAACGAGCACTGAGGGCGTCTCCCCAAAGAAATAGTAGCCCCTGCACTCCATGACCACCTGTGCAGGAGAAGACAGCAGGGTGAGAACGATGACAGCAGCCAGATTTCGTTACGCGGAGACGACAATCTCCTTTCCTACGGAGGAATTTGCCCCGACCGACCTCCCTCCAACCACCTCCTGCTACGACGACATTGGACAAATTAAGATGGTTCAGCCCCAAGGTCTCCCTAGGTACAGGTGGTCCTCGATGTACGACCAGAATCAACCCCAACATTTCTCATGGCTAAGCGAGACCCCACGGGTTCCGCCTCGTTTTACGACCGTGTTAAGCATATCCCTGCAGTTAGTCATTCAGTGAACCTGGCTTCGAGTTTGTCAGAAAGTGGCAAAAGAGGGGACCATGTGAACCCCAGGACTTTGCAACTGTCATAAATCTGAGTCAGCTGCCAAGCATCTGAATTTTGATCATGTGACCGTGGGGAGGCAATGAAGTGTTGTAAGTTGAGGACTGCCTATACTTCAGGGGAATTGCTTCCAAGGCTGCCGATGGGTGAATCTCTTACGCCCTGACGGTTTCCAGAAACCAGGAAAAGGAATGCTGACGTTTTTATAAGTAGCTTCTTCTTTTAATGCTTGCACGCCTGCAGACCAAAATCTTGGCAAACTATGAGCAAGAATGTCAATTATTTAGAAGAGCCTTGGTGGCGCAGCAGACTAAAGTGCTGTTAAGTAGCACCAGCTGCCTGCAATTAGTGCGAGTTCAAATCACACCAGGCTCAAGGTTGACTCAGCCTTCCGTCCTTCCGAGGTAGGTAAAATGAGGACCCGGTTTGTGGGGGCAATAAGCTGACTTTGTATAAAAAAAAGAACACCGCTTGGGGGGGCCCGAAAGCCCTACTAAGCAGGTATATACAAAAGTATGAAGGCTATTGCTTAACGCATTGTAAGCCGCCCTGAGTCTCCGGAGAAGGCGGCATATAAATCGAACCAATAAATAAATTTAAGGCAGCCTGTGAAAAACCTCTAAGGGAGCAGCCGACTTCGGCTTCTAAACTTTTCGGTCCCTTTTATAACTCTGGAATGTGTCTCCTCCCTCCCAGGAATGTGAAAGAGGTTGGACAGCCATTTGTCTGAACCGGTAGAGGGTTTCCAGCTCGGGCAGCGGGTTGGAGGAGGGGGAGGAGGAGGACAAGGAGAAAGGGAAGGGGAAGGAAAGGAATTCAGAGGAGGAGGAGGTGGGGGTTGAGCAGGGGGTGGGACTAGAGGACCTCCAAGGCCCCTTCCAACTCTCTTGTTCTGTCCTCTATCCCTCCTCTATCCAGGGGCTAAGAGTTGACTTGGAGAAACGAGAGGAAGGACGTCCCTCAAGACCAAAGTAGCAGGGAAGGAGAACTCCAGTTTCATCTCTGCCAGGAAGGTCCTACACAATCTCCATGGCCCTGTCTCCATCTAAAATACATTTCCAACCCAGCTTGGAAATCGGCCACTCACCCCGTCTTCTTCAAAGTCGCATTCTTTCAAGGAACGTTCTTCTTCAACCTGGCACTCCGTCTCCTTGATGGTGAAGTTCAGCTCTTGGTTGCTTTCAGAAAGAGGATCCTGAAAGAAGACACGGTCACCCAGGAGGTTAGTCTGGAGGCCACCTGACCTTCCTCCCACCTTCCCTTGGGATCATGCTGCTTGGGTCTTGATGGAGCCCCCAGAATACATCTACAGAGCAGAGTCCATGCAGGTCCCAGAAGTTCTGGATTCCATGCCCACCATCCTGACTGGTCCTAGTTGAAGGATCTTGAAGGTCTTTGTGGTGGAACTGATTCCCCCTTTTCACCTAGCTTCCCACGAGGGAAGTGCCTACTCTACAAAAAGTGTAAACAGGACAAATCAAGTCTAGTCTAGAGACAAAAAGGCCTAGAGGTGATGATAGCAGTTTTCCAATATTTGAGGGGCTGCCACAGAGAAGAGGGGGTGAAGCTATTCTCCAAAGCAGCAGAAGGCAGGACAAGAAGCAATGGATGGAAACTAATCAGGGAGAGAAGCAACCTGGAACTAAGGAAAAGCTTCCTGACAGAACAATCAACCAGTGGGACAACTTGCCTCCAGAAGTTATGGGTGAGGTCTTCATGAAAAAGATTGGATAGCCTTTTGTCCAGAACAGGACAGGATCTCCTGCTTGAGTAGGGCGTTGGACTAGAAGACCTCCAAGGTCCCTTCCAGTTCTGTTATTCTAGGTTTCTAGGTTTCAAATCCACAAGGGACCCAAACTGAAGGGTAGGTAGACCGTAAATGAAGGCTCCTCGAGATCTCCATGCTGGGAGAACAGGCTCTTTTTCAGTTAGCCCTCAGGACGGCTTCCCACAAAGGATGGGTCCACCCTACTCTACTCTACTCAGGTCAGGATCAAGTCCTCGGTGGACCTGAACTGGAGAGTACGTACCCACTCAGGTTGAGGAACAGCTTCCAGGAGACGATACATGGAGTCTTCCCCAGATTTGCTGTTGTAGATGCTCACTGCAAGGTCCACAGCCTCATCATAGCTCAGGGATTTGTGTTGTAGTGAGGAGGTCCCACCCGTTGCAAGAGCTCCAACCACCAGCAAGGTCTTCCAGAAGCAGCCTTCCATCCTTGTTTCTTCTGCTATGGAGCTCCACAGCTGATGTGGCTCCCGGGACCAGGAGGCCTCCTTATATCCCCTGATGGGCAGGTCATCTCCTTGTTGGGAGGCCACCAGGGGTTTCCCCCCACTGAGTTCTCCACGGTCCTTCCTGAAAAGGAGACGGGGGCACAGAGAAGCAGGGAGTAGAAATGTGTTCATCGTCCTAAATGTTCTTCTGGCAGGTTTCCAGGTCAGGTTTTCTCAATCTTGGCATTTCCCCAGCATCTCAGGCTGGGGAAGTTTGGGGAGGGGCGAGGAGTTGAGGTCAACCCATCTGAACGTGCCCTTTGAATGGCCAAGGAGGAGACGGAGGGGGAGAAGGGTCTCTTGCTTGAACAGGGGGTTGGACTGGAAGAGCTCTAAGGCCTCAGTGCTATGAGTATCGCCCCATTTTACGACGATTACTTGCCCCGACGGTTAAGTGTTATTTGCTGCCGTTGCTAAGTCAGTCACAGGGTTGTTAAGTCAATCTTGACCTTGACTGTGACACTGCCACCGTCATAAATCTGAGTCAGTTGCCAAGCGTCTGAATTTTGATCACGGGACTAGGGGGATTCTGCCAACGGTCGTTAAGTGTGAAAAGCGGTCCTAGGTCCCTTTTTCAGTGCCATTGTAACTTTGGATGGTCACTAAATGAACTGTTGTAAGTCAAAGACTGCCTGGGATGGATGGATGGATGGATGGATGGATGGATGGATGGAGAGAGAGAGGGAGAGAGAAGATAGACATAATAGATATATAGATGGATAGAATTGATAAGATAGATGATAAATAGGCAGAGACAGACAGACAGAGAGAGGAACAGAGAAATGATAGTTGAGAGAGAGGGGGGGAGGACAGAGAGAGAGAGAGAGAAGGAAAGAGAGAGAGAAGATAGAAGAGAGATATTTACCCACCATCAAAGATTGTCGTGTGTGTGGCACCACACAGTTGCGCAAAGGAGGCTGATTGCGCAAGGCCTCATTGTTGTGGGTCTGCCCCCCCCCCCTTCCGTTGTCGTGTGACCCTTCGAAGGACGGCTGTGATGAGGCCAACTCCAGAGAGGAGAAGGACAGGCTGAGTCACCTGAACCTCGTGGGGAAAGTCCTCACCAAAGAGGGAACCCACAACTCAGCCGGTGTGTGTGGGGGGGGAGGAAGTGCAAAGGGGAGCCTTCGCTTAGGACTCTTCGCAGAACCTGGAAACCCAAAAAGGGAACTCTTGAATCTGTGTCTCACGATATCACCTGGTTTTATCCGGTATTTCTTTGTCCCCCTCTTATTATCATTCAAGGCGGCTTATATTCCATCCTCCTCCTATTCTCCTCACAACAACAGTCCTGTGATGTAGGTTGGGCTGAGAGAGAAGGACTGGCCCAAAGTCACCTAGCCGGCAGAACTAGAACTCCCTGTCTCCTGGTGAAGGGCCCAGACAGAGTCACCCAACTGGAGTTCATATATAACGCGGAACCAGTTGCTAAGCTAGTTTCAATCTATGATTTATAAAAATAATAGAGAGTTTAAAACAAATATCTAAAAAGAAAGGAGGCAATGAGTTGTATGCTTCTGTGTTGTTCTGACTGTTGCTATCCTCAGCTGCAACAGTATGCTTTGTGAGGATTGTTGCATTTTGCAATGTTTTAATTAGATGTTTGCGCAGAGTTGCTGTGGCAAAAGAGGTGATTGTATTAAAGGATTAAAGCGAGCAAACCACAAAAAGAAGCTCTACCCAGATGTTGGCTAAGATTCAACAATGGTTTGAGAGAACATAATCCTAAAAGAGATTAATCAATCAATCAATCATATAAGCTTGGACAGGTGAGAAGTTGTGGAAGATAGCTGGGCGTTCGCAGTTTCATGTTTCCTTAGAAAAATGGCTATTTTTCAGCGCTTCTGGATTTGGACATAAAACAAATCAATACAGGCAGTCCTTAATTTATGACCATTGATTTAGTAACCATTCGAAGTTACAATGGCATTAATGTAGGTAGGTAAATGCGGGTCCAGCTGGATGATCACTCAAGGGCCCCCTTTAAGAAAGGAAATATGCTTGTTTGAGGGAAGCCAATTATCTCCAGTTGAAAGGAGAGAATTCCTTTGAAGTAGAAACATTCAGAAGAAGGGGCCCCTCAGTTGTCTGTCAAAATCTTGACAGACTTGAACAATGGGCCCCAGTCCTGGGGTTCACATGGTCCCCTCTTTTGCCACTTTCTGACAAACCCGAAGCCAGGTTCACTGAATGACTAACTGCAGGGATATGCTTAACACGGTCGTAAAACGAGGCGGAACCCGTGGGGGTCTCGCTTAGCCATGAGAAATGTTGGGGTTGATTCTGGTCATATGTCAAGGACCACCTGTACCTAGGGAGACCTTGGGGCTGAACCATCTTAATTTGTCCAATGTCGTTGTAGCAGGAGGTGGTTGGAGGGAGGTCGGTCGGGGCGAATTCCTGCGTAGGAAAGGAGATTGTCGTCTCCGCGTAACGAAATCTGGCTGCTGTCATCGTTCTCACCCTGCTGTCTTCTCCTGCACAGGTGGTCATGGAGTGCAGGGGCTACTATTTCTTTGGGGAGACGCCCTCAGTGCTCGTTCTCACCTGTGAACCGGTGGCTGAAGAGGAGGAGGGGGACAAAGAGGAGGAGAAGGAGGTGGAGAAGGAAGAAAAGGAGGAAGACGAGAAGGTAAGAAGATGGTATGATGGTTGGGAGGACTTACAACGATCAGATGCGATTTTTCGCTTAGTGGCCATCCTAGACCAACAACAGTTTCGTTTAGTGACCAGAGTTGCAACAGCCCTGAAAAAAAATGATTTATGTCCATTTTACAGCTAGTCCTCAACTTACAAAAGCTTGTTTAGTGACTGTTCGAAGTTGCAACGGGAACTCAGGACCCTTTTTCACGCTTAACAACCATTGCAGATTTCCAGGGTCACGTGAGTTACATTGGCAACCGATTCACACTTATGACCCTGGTTGCAGAGTCCCAGGGTCAGGTGATCCTCTTTTACGACCTTCTGATGAGCCAAGTCAATGGGGAAACTCAGATTCATTTATTTATTATTTATTTTATTTTATTTTATTTTATTAAATTTGTATACCGCCCTACTCCCAAAGGACTCAGGGCGGTGAACAGGTGATTTCACAACCAGGTGACTCATTTAACAACTGCAGTGATTCGCTTAACGACAGAGGCAAGAAAGGTCGTAAAATAGGGCAAAACTCACTCAACAAAGGTCTCAGGGAGCAGCAGAAATTTGGGGCTCGGTTTTGATCGTAAGTTGGGGGGGTGGCACCTGTAGAGTCTTCTGCTTTTAATTCTTAAATTAGGAATTAAACTCTGCCCACAGGCAGAAGTGGGGAGAGTCTCCTTCTTAATCTGCAAAGGGTGTAAAACAGACTCATACACTGTGTTGTGTGGAAATGCCACAACTGCACCCTTTGCAGAAGTCCAAGCCCGATCCCGGGGCAGTGGGGAAGCAGAAAGAGGAAGGGGCTGCAGGACCCCCGGGGCCACCCACTGGGGACCCAGCCCTGACCCCAGTCCTTCTCTTCCTCTCTAGGATCAGCCCAGGAGAGTCAAGAGATTCAAGAAGTTTTTCAAGAAGCTCAAGAAAAGCGTGAAGAAACGTGTCAAGAAATTCTTCAAGAAACCGAGAGTCATCGGGGTCTCCATCCCCTTCTAAGAGGGGATTCGGAAGGACCCTCCGATCCGAGGAAAACCGGCAGAGAAAAATGATGTTCCAGTCCATCTAATCATTCCCCAAAAAGATACTCCAGCAATAAATAAATGAATAAATAAATATATATACATATATATATATATACTCATACATGGCTTTTTCCTACTTTCCTATGTTTAAAAGACTAACAGAATTAGGGAGTTGGAAGGGACCCTGGAGGTCTTCTAGTCCAACCCCCTGCTCAAAAGGGGAACCTACATTATTCTGGACAAATGTTTCTCCAATCTGTTCTTTGAAAATCCCCATGGAGACCTGATAGCTTCAGTCCACTTTTGAAAACCTCCATTGATGGAGCATCCCACAATTTCAGGCCCACAAATCTTAAACTTAAAGGAAATGGGGTGCAGAGAGTTTGTGTTATAGTGGGGCTGGTCCTTGGTGTGGGCTCGGGGGGTGGGGGGGTGGGATTTGTTACGAGGATTGATGGATCAGGCCCAATGAAGAGACTTGAGTCATCAGGTTAAATATATCTCTTTTATTTACAGGTTCTGCACATCATCACTGGTTACATCTGGAACTGAACAACATGGAGGATTGTGCCCACCTTTTATACCTGTGGGCGGGGATTCAGGTAAGGAGGGGTCTATGGGAGGAGCTGACCAGGTGGGTGTCTGGGTTAACCCCTGCACTACTGAACTGTAGCTGACCCTAGGCACGGGTAGGGCATTTATACCTGACAAATCCCCCTCTAAATGCCTGACCTGTGTCTGTAATCCTGACTGACTGTGTGGTACCTTGAGGCGAATGTTGAGCTTGGAAACTAAGTGTGAGTGTTGTTTGCCCTGTAGAGGTTTTGTGAGTATGTCTGCGGTTTGTTCTTCTGTATCGCAGTGTATGGCCTTTATGAAACCGATTCTGGAGAGCTGTCTCACGTGTTTATACTTTATGTCTATGTGCCTTGACCTTTGCCCTACAGCGTCGGACATGGATATTTCTATGGCGGCCTTGTTATCCTCGTAGATATTTATTGGGTAAGCTGGTTCTCTCCACACGCTGGCGAGTAGGTCGTCGAACCAGATGAGATTGTTGGCGGCTTTGGAGCGGCATATGTACTCGGCTTCAGTGGTCGAGGTTGCCACCAAGATTTGTTTACCTGTGTACCAATGCACAGGACTGTTATTTAAGTAGAATATGTACCCAGACGTGCTTTTCCGGCCTTTGGCGTCTCCGGCCCAGTCAGCATCAGCGTAACATGAGAGGATGGGTTCGTCTGATTTTCAGGCTCTAGGGTCAAGCATGCATTGGCACTTTGTTTCAGGTATCTTAGCACCCTTTTCACCGCGTCCCAGTGGTATGTGGTGGGTTTGCTCACGTGCCTGGACAGTAAATTAACGGATAGAGCAATGTCTGGCCTTGTCCAGTTAGCGATATACAGGAGGGAGCCTATGACTGACCTGTACAGCGTGTTGTCTCCAAATTCGGGTGATTCTTCATGCATGTTTTTTAGGAAGTCCGTCTGCATGGGTGAATCACACCCCTTGGCGTCTGCCATGTTGTACTTATGGAGTAACTCTTCTATTTTCTCTTTCTGTGACAGTTGGAAGCCTTTTGGTGTTTGGTTGACTTGCACCCCCAGGTACCGGTTTATCCTTCCAAGGTATTTTAGGGTGAAATGCTCGCTCAGCCTGCTGGCGAAGGTGTTGCGGTTTCCTTCGTGCTTGCTGATGTATAGAATGTCATCCACGTAAACTAGGATGTATTCTGGCGAGTCCCCCTCTTTCCTGGTGAAGAAACAGTTGTCGGCTATGGTCGCCGTGAATCCCATAGACTTCAAGGCCTCTACCAGGCATTCGTACCAGCGTTTGCCTGATTGCTTTAGCCCGTACAGGCTCTTGTGAAGTAACCAGGTGTCCCCTCTGTTGGTTTCTTTGCTGTGGGGGGCTCTGATGTATATCTCTTTGTCTAGTTTGGCGTGCAGGTAGGCGGTCTGCACGTCGAACTGGTGCACCTCCAGCCCTAGCAGGGATGCGATGACCAAGGCGCTTTTGACGCTCTCTGTTCTTACGGTGGGCGAATAGGTGTCTGTGTAGTCCTCCGGAAACCTTTGAGCAAACCCCTGGGCAACTAATCTTGCTTTGTATAGGCTTTGGCCACCCTCTAAGTTCTTGACCTTGAAGATCCATCGGGTGCTTATTGTGTTCTTGCCCTCTGGGACTTTGGTGGGGGTGTATACCTCTAGCTTCCTCAGGCTGTCCAGTTCTTTGGCCATGGCTAACTCCCACTTTGCCCTCTCTCCCTGGGGTAGTCTCAGTACCTCTTCGTAGGAGTTTGGCGTAATGTGGTTCGTGTGCACGTGCATCACGTAATCATTTAACCTTCTTGGCAGTTGGTTTCTGGTTGACCTGACCGGTCTGGTTACTGTCTGCTCAGTGTCATGCAGATGTCTGGCCTCTCTTTGTGTCAGTGATTCGACACTTATCTTGGGATGGTTCTCTTTCCATCCCTCAACCTTGATGCCTTGGAGATTGGGCTTGGGCCTGCCCCCTTCCTGTTTACCCACTGTCTCGTTTTTGTTTTGAGCTTGCTCGATTGGACTATCCTCTCGCTTGGTGGGTACCTCGTTTAAGTGTATTCTGGACCAGTTGGCTTGTTCATGGAATGCTGCTGTCCTAGATACCATGAATCTATTATTGCTGTCCACAAACCTGAAGCCCTTGGTACCTGGCTCGTATCCCATAAACCTCAGTCTTCTGGATACCTTGTCCCCTTTTTTGCGCAACTGTTTGGGTATGTGTACATCAGCAGTTACGCCGAATACATGTAAGTGTGCTATCTGAGGCTTCTTGCCATACATGAGCTCGTATGGTGTTTTGTCTATCACACTGGACCATGTTCTGTTAAGTGTGTAGTTGGAGTAGACCAGGGCTTCAGACCAGAAGTGTTGGCCAATGCCCGCGTCCTCTAAGGTACACCTGACCATTGTTTGGAGCGTGGAGTTCCGTCGTTCTACGACCCCGTTCTGAAAGGCAGAAAACGGGGAAGTGAATCACGCCTTTGGACCTGAGCCAATGGGAGAAGTCCTTAGATAGAAACTCAGATCCTCTGTCGGTCATGATTTGTTTGATCCGGGTGTTGTTTTGAGTTTCTACTCTTTTGTAAAACTCCTTGAATTTTTGGAAGGCCTCATCCTTTTTTCTTAAGGTATAGACGAAGCCATATCGGCTGTAGTCATCCACTATAGTGAGGAAGTACCTTTTCTTATAATTTACGGATGGCCTTAGGGGCCCTACCAGGTCCATGTGTACTAAGTTGAATATTTGTTTGGCAGCACGTAACGACTTCTTGGGTCTGGGTTTTACCTTTAATTTAGAACACTTGCACACCGAGCACTTGAGGTAGTTTTCACAGTTTTTTATTTTGGTACCCTCGGTACAGTTGGCCATTTTCTGGACCACGGGAAAACTGGCGTGCCCTAGCTTCCGGTGTACCAGGTGAGCACAGTCGTCATGTATGGGTTTGCCTATTGATGGGCTCCTCTGTGTGTGTCTGTTGTGTTGTGTTCCTTGTGTCGTGTTACTATCGTTATCTACCTCTCTCCTGTCTACCTGTTCCCCCTCAGTCCTGTCCTGGTCAGTGTCTTCTGTGATCTCTGAGCTGTTATATACGCTGTGGGTGTCTTTCTTGTAGAAAGTTATGTAAGGTAATCCTTGGTTGACAGTTACTCTCCCTATATCTTCCCCTTCCTTGCTAACTTTGACATTACCTTTGGTAAAGGTCACCTCAACCCCTGATTCCTTGCTGAGCTTTACTGCGGCCAGGATGTTGTGGGGTATCTCCGGGACTAGCAGTACCCCCTCTATTTCCCCTATGCCTGGCAAAGTGACTGTCCCCTTGCCCGTCACTCTAACCTGGTTTTGGTCCACAACTTTGATTGAAAAATCCTCCCTCTAAAATGATGAGAGTAGTTTCTGATTGTAGGTGGTGTGGTTGGAGGCTCCTGAGTCTAGGAGCCATGAGCTGGTGTCTATGTCTTGATGTGTGGTGTGTGCGTGCTCCCCTATCCCGTATAAGGATCCTGTCCTACTGTCGCGCGAGCTATCTCTGTTCCCTCTCCTGTCCCTGGGATTGGGTGAGTCCCTGCGCCTATATCTTTCTTCAGATGTGTGTCTTTCCGTTTGTCTGTACCTATGCTCTGGCCTGCCCCTCTCCCTATAGTTCTTGGGGCAGTTCCCTTTTGATGTGCCCCCTCGACCCACAGATGTAGCACCCTGGTGTGTTGTGCTGTTTCTCTTGAAAGGCTACTCTCTTCTCACTCTTATGTTCTCTGGGAGGGCCGGGGCGGCTTCTCCTCAGGTTATCCTCCGCGATCAGTTTGTTGGATAGCTTCTCCACGGATAGCATTCCCAGACTAACGGTGTCTAAGTGTGTTAGAAAGTTATTCCATGAGTGATCTAAAGAGTTAATTATTACGCTCTTCATGATCTGGTCGGAAATAACTTCTCCCCTAAGGTGTAGTTCTGCTCTGGTACCGCTTAAGGACACTAGGTGCTCACTCATGGGGGTCCCTGGCTTAAGTCTGGCGGAGAAGAAGTCTTTGGAAATTTGTGTGGTGGTGGACACACTCTCACTATAGAACAACCCAAACATTTTCCCTATAATTTCTGATACAGTGAGGTTATGGCCAATACAGTGGTAAATTGTGGGGGATATGCTGGCAATTAAAAGATAGAATGCCTTATGGTGCATGCAATCCAGCTCTAAAGTCCATGGTTTCTCTGGGGGGTCATTAATAAAATGAGACATGCTTTCTTTCAGGAACACCACCTGGAGCTGCTGTGACCACTCTAGGATATTGCCCCCATCCATCCTCAACTTGGGAAAGTCTACTGGTAAGTTCCCAGCATTATTTGTAAAGTTACTTACTGCTGGCTGCTGTCCATGGTTCCTTATGTGCCTATAGCAGCAGTAAGGCATGGGAACGCTTGCCGGTAGTTTAAAAGTCCCGCTTTGTAATTTTTTTCTCTTTTCTTCTTCTAGGCGGAAGAGCGCATGCGCGAAGTCCATTTCAGCTCCGCCGTCGCCGAGGAAGGAC